AAATAAATAGGCAGATAAATAGATAAATAAATCAATGAATAAAGAAATAAACAAACAAATGAACATTTTTGCACTACCTAACAGGATTGCTAAGGTTACCGTGTAAATGAGTTGTTATAATAATATGATTCCTAATCAGAAGGGACGTAAGACTTCATCAGGTCCAACCTTATACCTAAACAGGGATAGACAGCATAACATTCCTGACAAGTGGTCATTCAACCTCCTCCTGAAGAATTTCAGTGGAAGGGGACCCACCATCTGCCTAGACAGGCCATTTCACATGGGAACAATCCTGTTTTTAAGAATTTTTACTTAATGGAGCTGAAATATGCTTCATGACAACCCTGACTCATTTCTCCTACATTGGTCCCTCTGGGGCCAAGTAGAACAAGTCTAATCTCTCTTACATATACAGCCATTAAAATACTTTAAGACAAGTAGCTATCAAACTTTCCTTTTCCCCTCTCTTCCCCAGGATCCTTCAACAGATTGCTGTATACCATCATTTAAATGTCTCTTCCCCTCCTGGCCTGTGCTCCTCTACCGGCTCTATAATCTGCCAGCGTTGTTCTCAAAATGGGCTTCTCAAAACTGAATGCAATAGTCAGGTTTGGTGTGGTCTGACTACTGCAGGTTTCTATAGTAATATTGTTTCACTTGTTATGGACGCTGTATGTAGCCTAAGACCACAGTTCCCTTTTTTTGGCTGTCCGATGTATTGTTTGTTGACTCATGCTGAGCTTGCAGTCTGCTAAAACCCACAGATCCCCTTTTTTTTTTCCAGACAAATTGCTATTAGGGATACTACCCTATCTTTTATTTATGAAGATTTTTTTTAACTCAAGTAAGAGTTTACATGTATCTCCATTATTAGGTTCACACCATATTAGGTTCTATCCTGCTGATATCTTTTTGGATCTTGATTCTGTGATCTAATATTTTAGCTCTCTTAACTTTGTGTCAGCTGTAAATTTGATAAAAAATGGCATCTATACATTCATCTGTCATTAATTAAAACATTAAAGAGCAGAGATGACTGAGTCGAGACACTAGATACCTCCCTCCAAGATGACACTGAGCCATCAATGACTACTTTTAAGTTCCATTCTCTTAACCATTTCCAAATATATCTAACTCTGCTACCATCTAGTCCGTGTCTCACCATCTTGTTATCAAGGATAGCTTTGAAGAATTTGCCGAATGCCTTGCTGAAGGTACCACTATACATCAAAAACATTGAAAACTAGATTGGAAAATATTTTTACCAATCTAGTCATATCATCAAAAAAAACAAGAGGTTACTCTGACATGATCTGTTCTTAGTGAAAACAATGCTGGCCCTGAGTGATTATTGCTTCCATTTCTAAGAGTCCACCAACCATTTAGTAATACATTTTAGAATTTTACTAGGAATTCAAGGTCAAGTTCACTGGCCTGTAATTGGAAGACTATTCTCTTCCCTTTGTTGAAAACTAAGATATTCGCTTTTCTCCAGTTTTCCAGGACCCCTCTCTCATTTCTTTTAAAAATTGCTGATAGTGGCTCCATAATCAAATCTGCAAGTTTTCTAAGTATCTTAAGATATAGTTGCTTAAGACAAGTGACTTTTAACTCATCAAATACAGCTAAATGCTCTCATGCTATCTGCTCAGTTATCTTGAGTTTCAAGTCCTATTAACCATTTTTGTTCTATCCATTCTAGTCCAAGGCTCCTTGAACTTTTCAGGAGGTAATTGATAATAGAAAATAAAAATATTTCTGCCTTCTTTCTGTCATCCATTATCGTGATCCCATCTTCCTGGAGGGATATTCCTCTTTTGATCCTTTTCTTTTCTCCAATCTACCTGGAAAAGGGAAAAAAAAACTTCATTTTTTGTCCTTAGCATTTACTCCCAGTTACAGCTCACTATGAGCAGTGGTCCTGACACCATTCTTACAGGATCCTATCAAGATTTTGTATCTATTTTCCATTGTCTGTCCTTGATTCCATCCTCTCTATGTGCATGCTTAAGAATCTAAATCGAAGAATGAGCTCCCAGTGCATCCACTTTGGTACCTTTCAACAACACCCGGTTTTCTTCCTCACTGAGACTATTTATATTTATGTTTTTAAAATTCCATTCTTGAGTGTTTCCTCGTGCTTCTTGGATCTATGTTGTCTACGGGGTTTTAGGCTAAAGGCCTACCAGCCTACACAGCCTTTCTCTGTGAAATCTTCTCTCGTTAAAATGAGGGTATCCTTGACATTGCCTGCCCTTCTGCATTATTAATTCTAAAATAGAATTAATTAAGATAGAAGCCTCCTCCAAACCCTTTTCCCATCATTTTTTGTATCGGTGGCTAGTTCCTTCTCAGTAATCAGGATCAGCTCAGAATAACAGTTCTCCTTGTCACTTCCTCTATTTTTTTAAATGTTACATTGTCATTGAGACAAAACAAGAATGCATTAACTGTTTTGCTTTTGGCATGGATAGAGCTCTAGATTATGTCTGTGGGACTCAGGGCTCTGACAAGTGAGATTTGACTTTATCTTGGCCAGACCACCTCACCATTTTCCAGCCAAGTCCAAATCATGCTAATATATGTGTGACTACCTCCCCCCAACACACACACACACACACACACACACACATCCTTAGCTCCTTCTTAAATGTTGTCTTCCCTTATTAAAATATAAGCTCCTTAAATGGAGGGGCTGTCCTATATAGGGGGAATTTCCTAGCCTGGGTTTCTTGAGAATTCAGGGAGAATCTTCCCCACCAGCAGGTCTGAATGACTGGAGGTCAAATAAAGTGAGTAGGAGGTAAGCTCACTTTATAAATAAAAAAAATTTATTAGCACAGTTGGGAACCATGCTCAGGGTAGTAGCAGAATTAATTTCTTTGAATACAGTTTGGATTTTTATAGCTGTTTTGACTCAGAGCCAAATTAGCAACAATCTGTGGCAGAAAAGAAATGGAGGAAAATGTGAAAACCTTGGAGTGACAGGATTCACTGAAGATCAGATTTGATCCTGAGGGAAAATGCATTTCTCTGTGGTTAATCTTATCAAAAATCCCTGTGTTGGCAGGTAATCTCTAAAATGGTGGAGGCCTTCTTTTAACATAGAATAATTCTCATTTGTCTTGTTGTTGCCAATAAGAAGAGAAATCAAGTACCATTCCTATAGCTCTGTTTCCTTGGCTTCAGAAGTCACTTTGTTTGAAGAGAGGTTTCCCCAAAACTTACAATACTCAGGTTCATTCTATTTCTTTACCCTTGCTTGTATTTGTGTCTACAGTTCTTAGTACAGTACATGGCAAAGAGTAAGCACTTAATAAATGCTTTTTTATTCATATATTCTTTCATTCATGTACAAATAACTGAAATCCCCCATTTCTACAGTATGCTTTCATGTTAGTCTTAGGTATTATACAAACGGAAGTTGTTGGGTGGTAGGGTGGTGGTGGTGATGGTGGCAGTGGTGGTGGTGATTGTTATAAAAAAGAGGGGTAGGATTTGGCTAGGCAGAAAGTAGAGTGATTATTCCAGCTTGAGGTGCCATTAGAGGGGAGTGTGTGTATGTGTGTGTGTGTTTGTGTTTTGCATGAGCAAAATATAGAAGTAGTGTATCTTGTGTATGTTGACTTTCTTTCTAAGAACCAAGCTGATAAATCTTCCCTACAGAGTTCCAGGGTTGGGTGGTTGAGGTATCTCTACTGTTACTGGCTTGAGATGCAATCAACTGTGTTCTCCCAATGTTAGGGGCTAATGACTAACATACTTAGTTCCATTTAACCACTTAAAACTAATTAGCTTTTGAAAAGGGATATTTACTGAGAAGATATAGCAAAAACAAAATACAAATATTTTCCCCAATACCTCTATGAGTATACTCTCTTCTATAGCATCTTGGTCTCTGAGAAGAGTAGGCTCCATTTAGCTCAGTTCCTGCATAGCATAGGTTCCACCCAGTTCATAATCAAAAGTGGTTTTGATGCTGAATGTGTCCTTGTCCCATCTACCAGTGAGATGGAGTCCCAAAAGTTACTCCTTGATCCTCAAGGTGATGTGTTACTGGCTGCAAACCTGGACTCTGGAATGCCAAGGTATTGAAGCATGGGATTGCATTACCATCACCCCTGAGGGACATTGATGCTTTGCTCACTGTTAACTCAAACTTTGGAAAGCCAGGATGCTGAGGTGGACATTTCAAACTCACATGGTCGTTGGCTCCACTCCCTTCACCAGGCTCCCCTCTCTTCACCCTTCACCACTCATGGTGATAAGTGAAGTAGTCATTAAGATTCCCTTAAGAACATTGAGGTTAAGAGGAAGTGGTTGCAGTTGACAGTCAGTTTTGAATACCTCTTGAACTAAAGAGCCTCCTTTTTACTATGTTGGTAGCTGACCAGAACCAATTACAAAATGTCTATGCATGCGCCAAGGTACATCATCGTGATTCTCGCAGAAGCAGAAATCAGGCTCCCTTGCAACTCCAGATGGGGAGATGCCATTAGAGGTATATGTACTAAATAAACCCCCATTGTAGCAGGAATTATTATGGCATGATTAGGGGCAAAGAAAAGAAATAGGTTTGACAAGAATGGATCTTTACTGGTAGGGAGCAGAAAGCTTACATGAAATAATAGAGAAAGCATTCCCCCAGCAGCCAGGTGACTTGGGATTCTATCTTAGCTTTGCTGCTCTTTCGTCACATGATCTGGAGCAAATCATTTTACTTTCTTGGACCTCAGTTCTCATAAATGAGGGGGTTGGATTCGATGACCTCTCGTGTCCCTTTTAGTGCTCTCTCTCTAAGGCTGGGTAGATAAAATAGGATTGGACTATGAATATTTTGAATGCCAGGTAAAGACTGAACTCAATCTACTTAGCAACTTTCGCTTTGTACTGTCTAAAGAGTATGATGAAACTAGTTACACAGACTGAGAGATGGAGTGGCCTATAGACCCTGGCTTTGTAGTTTTGATGTTTTTTATGTATTTTTTGTTTTACAGAATTTTAAGCAAGTTGAGTCAAGAAATCAACAAGAATGAAGAAAGAAGAAGTTTATTTGCAAGGAAGTAAGTTGTATAACAATGATTTTTTTTATTTCTTAAATTGATAGCTTTTCCTTAAAATAAAAATACACAAACGTACACATACAAATCATAAAGAAACACTCCTCCAAAATAGCTTAGCAAAACAACAAAATACAGCAATTGTAACTGATTATACATACAATCGTGTTGCTGTTATTCAGCTATTTCAGTCGTGTCCAACTCTCCCTGACCCCATTTGGAGTATTTTGACAAAAATACTAGAGTGGTTTGTCATTTCCTTCTCCAGGTCATTTTGTAGATGAGGAAACTAAAGCAAACAGAGTTAAATATCTGAGGCTGGATTTGAACTCAGAAAGTTGAGTCTTCCTGACTCCAGGCGTGGTACTCTAGCCACTGTACCACCTAACTGCCCCACATACAACTACATACTTTTGTAATTCACCATTTGTTAAAGGAAAGGAAAGCTGAGAATTTTGACTATAACAAGGTATTACCAACATTGTCCATTGTTATTTCATTTGTGTTTGGTTGTTGTCTTAGGTCTCCATTTATGTGATCGTAGTTCATCTCTAAGTTGGTTTTTTGAACCTACTTTTTTCCATTCTATATCACTTCCTGTGTCTTTCTATGTTTCCTCTAATTCTTCATATTTGTGTTTTCTTGTAGAATAAAATATTTGATTATATTCACATGCCACAGTTTATTCAGTCACTTTCTAATTGTTAGACACATATTAACTATTTGCTATTATATTCATAATACTTCTAAGAATATTTTTTTTTACCCAGAGAGTTCTATTTTTCTTGTCAATAAACTTGTTCAGGTATAAATCCAGTAGTACAATCAATGGGCATGAACAATTTCATAAGTTTTATTATACAATTCTAAATTCTTTTCAAAAACAGACTAATCCCCAGCATTACCAGTAGTTAATTACTCTTTCTGTTTTCTACCAGCCTTGCCAACATTGAAAATATCCTTGTTTTACTATCTTTGACAACTTAATGGCTGTTAAGTGATACCGAGGACTTTTAATTTGCATTTTTCTCATTATTCACATTTAGAACACATTTTTTTAGCTGACTGATGATAGTATGATGATAATTTCTGTTTTTTTTAATTTTTAGCTGACTGATGAGCAACAATAAAACTGTTGTTTTACTGATGATGATTTCTGTTCTCTATTTTTTAGCTGACTGATAAAACTAAGATGATAATTTTTTGTTTGTTTGTTTCAAAAATTTTCTGTTAACGCCCTTATCCTTGACTACTTCTCCAGTGAAGAAGGGCTCCTAATCTAATAGATCTGTATCAATTTCCTATTAGTTTTGGATATCAGAATCGTGTCAGAGAAGTTTAACATAAATATCCTCCCCATCAAAATTTGTATATTTTTTTCTTATTCTGGCTGTACTGATTTTATTTATACAAAAATATTTCTTTTTCATATAATTGAAATTGTCTTTTGCCTTTTATCCTTTATTCTGAAATGTTATTAGTTAAGAATTATTCCCCTATTTGCAATTTGAAAGTTGTTACATGGCATCCTCTAATTTTATGGTCTGAATTTTAAAATCTTTAAATAGTTTATTCATTTGGAATTTATTGTGCTATATTATGTAAGATGCTGATCAAAATGCAATTTTAATCAAACTCCTTATTCAGTTTTTCTTAAATAATTTATTCCCCAGGAATTTTGGTTCTCATTTTGTTGAATTCTAGACTGCTAAGAATATTTGTAGCTAAATCTTCCATAGCTAATCTAGCCACTAGATTTCTATTTATTTTAATCCACTATTTGATTGTTTGAACAATTACTACTTTATAAAATAATGTAGTAGGCAGAAACACCATTCTCCATTCTACCGTTACCTGCCACCATTGTTTCCTTTGATTTTCTTAAATATTTGTTTTTCCCTATGATTCAAATTATAGTTTTCTTTAATTCTAAAAAGTACACCATTGGTATTTTATTAATATAGCATTAAATCTATACATTAATTTGGGGAGTATTATTATCTTTACTATAAGATCATCTAGCCAAAAACATTGAATATCCCTCAATTAACTGGATTTACATTTTTTTTAAAAAGCATACAGTTGTATTTGCATGCCTTATGTGTGTCTTGATTGGTTAATTAGAAATTTCATGTGTTATTTTTGTTGTTATTTTAAATAATATTTCTTTTTCTATGTATTACTCAAGTTTATTAACAATGTAGTATGTAAGAATATAGATATTTCAAGGGATTTAGTTTATACACTCCTACTGTGCTGAAGGCATTGTTAATATACTTTGTGGTTGTTGCTGTAGTTGATTCTCCTGGGTTTTCTAAGAAAAACATACATAGTATATAAATGGAGATATTTATACTACTTTCTGTCAATGATTATTCTCTTAATTTCTTTATTTAATTTATTCCTACAGGTAATATTTCTAATGTTGTATCAAAGAATAATTATGTTAATTGACATTTTTGCTTGGTGCTTGATCTTTACAGGAAATTTTCCAGTATTTGTCCATAATAAATAATGCTACCTCTTGGTTTTAGATAGATGCTTTATCATCATGTTGAGGAAATATCATTTCATCCTTGCATTCCTCATCTAAGTATAACTTGTTAATGAAAATTTTTGATAGATTTCTGTAGTCTTTTTTCACTTTTTGCTACTTCATCTCTGTCTCTTTTTATATTTTTGCATTAATGTTGATTAATTGATATTGATTTATGTATTTCTTTTTCTCACTAATCCTTCTATATTTTGTAAAATATTTTTAGTAAAATTATTTTTCATTTAATCATTTAGATATCCAAATAACTTAAATTGAGGAAGGAGTGCCTTTCTTACCTTATTATTTGTGAGTTTTCCATGCCTCAATCTGTGATTTACCTTAGCATCAGACTGGCATTTTTAAAAGTGGTGGCTAGAAGACATATCCTAAACTTTTAGTAGGCCCTTTATTTCTGCTTAATTGTATTCAAGACAGTGATTTTCTACTCATAAAAATAGCAATGTTAATATCCTTATCATTTGTCATTTCAGGCCCCATCCACAAAGATTTCCTGAAGAAAGAGGTAATAGTTTGTGATTTGGAGTAACAATTTGATTTAACTGGCTACTAATATTTGAGTTATTATGGTTTCAAGTTGTTCATACGGGTGTCATTTAAATAGCCTTAGTGGTCTAGTTATCAAATTGCTTCCCTAAGTAAAGGTTTGGGCAGAGTTTGGTGAGAAAAGTAAGCTTGCCATCCAAGATTCAGCCTCTCATCCTTCTAGATCCCTGCTCCCATGTTTTCCCCATAAGAAGCAAAATGGAAAATTACATAGCTACTGAAAGGTCAGAATCCAGTGTCATCTTTCTATTATTTCATATCTTCTCAGAGAATTACTCTGAATTTATCTCCTACTTAGCTTAAGCTATGGGGACTCAGGATGAAATGTTAATTTACCTCCTAATTGGGCTTCAGTTACCCCCTAGAAATTAGGAGCAGGTTTATGTCAGGCTGAGAAACCATTCTCCTAGTTCACTAAGGGAAACAGGAAAATCACTTAATTTTCTGGGCTTTAATTTCCACATCCTAAAATTGATGGAGTTCCTTTCAGCTCTAAAATTATGATAATGAAAAAATCTTAAGAAAATATACCTAGAATTTCAGGGAGAAAAGCCTTGAAACACTCCTGGAAAATGCTGAATTAGGCCTTTGTTCCATCTAGTTTGAGAACTCAAATACCCCCTGCTCCCTTTTGAACTTAAGCATTATTGCTCAATATTATGGAAAGAACATTGACCGTTGAGTTAGGAGACGTGGATTTTAGTTCTTACTCTACAACTATAGGTAATTAGCTGTATGACCTTGAATAAATCTCTAGTCCTGTTTCCTCATTTGGAAGTAATAAAATCATCCCTACTATCTCTAGGTGAAGTTTCTATTATTCTTTCTGAGGACCTGTCCACTATCTCCTCCCCCATCTTTAGCAGTAGCTATTTGTGTTTGACCATCAGTCCTTGACCTAGGCACTTCCAGGTTTAATCAGTCTCCAATACATTACCCTCCTCTTGGCTTCCCTGTTGTCTCTAGTGATCTCTCTCAGCAGCCACACTAAGTTAATATCCATGAACAAGAGATTTAATAAGCATTTGAGTAAGCATAGTGAAAAACAAAAGATGTGTTCCATGCCCAAGAGCAATCTTCACTCAAGTTAAGGATAACCATATTTACCTATAGGACAGCAACTAGTAAAATGCTAGGATGTGTATAAATTTAAAGTGCTAAGGAGATCATGAAGTTGGGGAGTGAGGGGGAGAGAAGGGCTGCCAAGAAAGGCTTCATAAAAGGTTTAAAGACAGACTTCAAGTTCTAGAAGAAAGTTCATATACACTGAGAGAAACAACTATTTCTTTCTTATATTAATAACCAATTATTGAATTAGGATTAAAGGATTTTCCACTTCCTTATCCAGAAATAAACCATTGTAGGAAATCTTAGGGAAAATTTACCCAACCGGGCTGAGAGAATTGGTGAATTCCTGTTCCTTGTGTTTAGTCAGACAGGTCTGAGGTAGGAGTGGATTCCCTCTTTGATATGTATATTGATAAGTCTCTTTGACCAAGACTTGGGTGATCCAGTCACATACCCCCAAAACCCTCAGTAGAATGAGCTCACATCTCATTATAATAATTATTTTCTCATTAATTATTAACCAATTAGAGTTGATTGCCATCCTCAGGAATACTCATTCTTCCATGGGCATATAAACTGTGAGCCCACCATTTTTGGCATTAGGGAGTGTCAATGACCCTTTTGTTAATAAAATGCTAGCAATGGGGCAGCTAGGTGGCGAAGTGGACAGAGCACTGGCCTGAAGTCAGGAGGACCTGAGTTCAAATCCGGCCTCAGACTGAACACTTGACACTTACTAGCTGTGTGACCTTGGGCAAGTCACTTAACCCCAACTGCCTAAAAAAAAATACTAGCAGTATTAATAAAATGATTAGTTACGCAGAAACTATGTCTCTCAAACTTTTTAAACATCACAATACTAAGGATATGAAGGCACAGGAAAATATTTTGAGAAAACTATTATTTTGAGAGATTTCAGTTTTGCTGCTCAAATAGTAAACAAATAGGGAGAAAGCACTTTCCCAAACTGTTTTCCTGGATTTTTTTCCTGCAGACCCTGCACATTTTTACATATACTAAAACTAATAATTTTATGAGCAAATCAAGTTACATACAATGTATTTTATATTCCAAACCTTAAAAAGTGCCTTGTACTTTTTTGAAAATGGTCCCTAACATAATTACATTTAGTCAGTCAGTCATCAAGTATTTGTTAAGTACCTACTGTGTGCCAGCCAGTGAAAAGCACTGAGGATTCAAAGAATGGCAAAACACAGTCCTTGATCTCGAAAAACTCACAGTGTAATGGTGGAGAAAACATGCAAAAAACTATGTATAAACAAGACCTAAATTTAAAGATAAATTAGAGATAATCAATAGATTATCTATTTCAGTTTCCTCCTAAATTCTCAGAAATATATTGGAAAGGACCTCAATGGTCATCTACCCCAAGCCTTTCATTTGACAAAAAAAGAAACTGAGGCTCAGAGAATTGATTTGCCCAAGGTCTTACATATAAGGAACCAGAATTAGAATTCACAATTGGAGTCTTTGGTTCCAAATCCAGCGTTCTTTCCACTGTATCAAAAAAGTTCTTATTATCCTTCCACCCCCAAAGCCTGGGGGATTCCAAATTTCCAGAAATTTTATTTCTCTAGGACATTACCATCCCCCTTATATTGAGCCTTGAAGCGAGGATATGCCCTGAATAACCCAATGAGATACACTAGAGATAGTCACAAACAATTTCCAAGTGTATCTAGGGAGCAAAAGGCAAAATTGGAGGAGTTGGGAATGAGGTGAGAGTGGGATGGAAAGAGCGACTTTCCTTGCTATGTTTATTTGATGCCAATGATTTCTATTCACTGCTCCTCCAGAGTTTCAAGAAGAAGATGATGGTGGCTGGTCATCCTTTGTGAGTATTACATGCCCAGTACCTTGCATGAAATAGGCACTTTGAAAAGTTGCTTTCTTGCTTGCTTGATATTGGTTATTGTATTTCATCTCTAAAAAATTTTCAAGCAATGTGCTTTCTTGTTGGGAGAGGAACAATTCCAAAAAGGAGCAAGAACACTAACTCAGATGGACCCATGCTTCAGCACTGCTTCCCAACTCCCAACATGAACCTAAAAAATGATAATGTTGTGTTCAGTCATTTTTTCAGTCATGTCTGACTCTTCATGACTCCATTTGGGGTTTTCTTGGCAAAGATCCAGGAGTGGTTTGCCATTTCCTTTTCCAGCTTATTTTATAGATAAGGAAACTGAGGCAAACCAGGTTAAGTGATTTGTCTAGGGTCACACAGCTAGTAAGTGTCCAAGGCCAGATTTGAATTCAGGAAGATGAGTCTTCCTCACTCCAGGCCTGGAATACGCCCTGAATATGAAGAGTAGACTGACACATAGTTGCTCCACATAGTTGCCCAGAAAATCATAACTAAAAAAATGGTAATAGCTCACACACATAGTGGTCTTAATGTTTTAAAAGTGCTTTATGTATTGATCAATCAACAAGAATTTATACACCTCACCCAAGGGCTGAGGATCCAAAGCCAAAAGCAAAGCAGTCCCTGCCCTTAAGGAGCTTGCATTCTAATATGGGAGTCATCATGTATATATATAGCTCTATACAAGACACATACAAATAAAGTACAAAGTTCCTGGGATGGGGAAGGCACTAGCAGCTGGAGAGTCTGGGACAGACCTCCTGTAGGAGGTGCTGCTTGAGTTGAGTCTTGAGGAAAACCCAGAAATGAAGATGAGGAGAGAGGACATTCCTAAGACAGGAGACAGACAATGCAAATGGTTAAAGATGGGAGATGGATGTCTTACCCTACAGGAAAATAGGGGGGGAAGCGGACAAGAGAGCAGGGGAATGATAGAGAGGAGGGCAGATTGGGAAAGGGAGTAATCAGAAGCAAATACTTCTGAGGAGGGACAGGGTCAAAAGAAAGAATAGAATAAATGGGTGGGCGGGATAGGATTAAGGGAAATAGAGTTGGTTTTTCACAGCATGTCTACTGTGGAAGTGTTTTGCATAACTGCACATATATAACCTATATTTAGTTGCTTACCTTATCACTGAGGGTGGGTGGTGAGGGAGGAACGGAGAAAATTTGGAACCCAAAGTTTTAAAAACACATGTTTAAAAAAAATGTTTTCACATGCAACTGGGAAATAAGAAATACAGGAAATGGGGTACAGAAATCCATCCTGCCCTACAGGAAAATTGAAAGGGAAGGGGATAAGAGAAGGAGGGGGAGATAGAAGGGAAGGCAGACTAGGGGAAGGGGTATTCAGAATGCATGCCATCTTGGGGCGAGGGGCGGGGCGAGATGGGGTGAAAATTTGGAACTCAAAATCTTGTGGAAGTAAATGTTGAAAACAAAAAAATAAATAAAAATTACCATAAAAAGCCAAAAAAAAAAAGATGGGAGATGGAATATCATGTGTGAAATGGCAAGTAGTCCAATGTGCCTAGAATGTAGTGAGTATGAATGGGAGTGATGTGTAAGAAGACTAGAAACAGGGGCAGCTAGATGCCATAGTAGATATAGCACTTGCCCTGGATTCAGGAAGACCTGAGTTCAAATCTGGCCTCAGACACTTGATGCTTAATAGCTGCATGACCCTAGGCAAGTCACTTCACCCCATTCCCTTGCCAAAAAAAAAAAGACTAGAAATAAGGGAAGGGGACAAATTGTCAAGAGCTTTATATGTCAGATGAGAGTAATTTATAATTGAGTTCATTGGTAATGGGGAGCCATCAGAATTTACTGAGTAGAAGAGCTGAGAGATTTGCATTTTAGGAAAATCATTTTGTTAAATCTTGTGGAGGATGGACTGGAGTGAGGTAAGATTCGTGCCACAGAGTCCAACCAGGAGGCTATTATTGAAGCAGTCCAGATAAGAAGTGATTAGAGCCTGAACTAGGGGGGTGGGTGTCAAGAGATGTTGTAAATATGGAAATAACAAGATTTGGCAACTGGTTAGACAGATGGGGGAGAGAGAGGGAAGGAGGAAGGAAGCAAATACAGTATCTTCTTTTCTCATCATGATGACCCTGTAAAGTATGTACCAGAAGTATCTTTTTTTTGGATCAGACTTGTGATTTCATCAGTGTAGGGAGTTTCCTATATCAATGTGTATGTGTAGGGTGTGTGTGTGTGTGTGTGTGTGTGTGTGTGTGTGTGTGTGTGTGTG